GGGGGGGGTGATTGCCGGGCCGCGCTCAGCCGCGGGGTTCGGGGCCGCCTTCGGACGGGAGCTCCGGGCCGGGCCGCGCCGTTGGGCCCCGCTCGGGCCGCGGCCCGAGACCCGGGGCTCCGCCCGCAGCCGCGGCCTCACCGCGGCCTGCGGAGCTCTCGGGCCGGGCCCAGCCGGCGGCGCGCAGCCCCGGAAGGAGCAAAGCGGCTCTCGCTGAAGCCGTGCTGCGGCCGCTGTCGGCTCGGGCGCCGTTTCTGGGCTCGGTTCTTTGGCGGCTGTCTCGGAGATGTCAGTGAGGGTGCGATGACGTTTCTTTGAGCCCCAGCTTTTGTTTGCATTTCTCCGTAACTCACCGCTGTAGTGATGGAAAGGCTTCTGATCTTGTACTCTTGCTGCGTCCCTGCCTTTCTCCGAGCTCCGTTCCTTTCAGAAAGCCCGAGCTCCCTTTCCTCCCCCTGCCCCCCTCAGAAGGAGCCGCACTCAGCTGTGCTCCCCGGGCTGCTGCTCGGCCCGCTCTGCGTCCTGTGGGACTCGCTGCTTGCGTCAGGCGGTGTGTGGTGATGTTGTGCTGTTCTAGTAAAGAAATATCTGCTTCTTTTAAAGCATGTGGGAAAACATGAGAATTCCAGGCCCCTACCTGCATTTGTAAACTGAACATTTATGCTTTCACTTTTCAGCTGCTTAAATACTTGAAACGTGCGGCAGTAGAGTTACATTCTGATGAACATTTGTTCTATGGCTCAATTCTTCTCAGCTGTGGTACTGCCAAAGATCGCATACCTTTGTAGCAGATGTTAAATGTCTTAAACGCATAACTAGGCCACTGAATGGGCTTACAGTATGTTTTTATTTTTGAATACTATACTGATTGTTTTTGGAAGGAAGCTGGAGTTGCGGTTCAGTTACGTAGATACACCACGTTTAAAAGTTTTGCAGAGGCAAAAAGTTTGCTGCCAAGGACACTGAGGACCGAAAGTGGCTGTAACGGTTGGATTGCAGTGGAAATAGAGCTGTTACAGGTCATTGGTGTCCCTCTGAAGGGCAGGGAACTTGGTGTTGGCGTCTCTTTCAAAACTGTGTGGCCTCTATTGAGAAATACAAATGCGATGCCGTACAGGGAGCTCCCACTGGATGAACAGCAGGGCTTAAAGCTGAGAGTCCGTCCTGAATTGCAGAAATTGTATTCAGACATAAACTTGTTCCTTAACATTGGCCAGAGTGGAAGCTATGGGGAAGAACGCTTAGAACTGAGAAAAGCGAAGGGGCAGAAATGGCAAGAAAAATAATGCTAGACGTATACAGAACTGAGGCAGGGAAGATCCATCGCCGTATTCCAGGTGAGAGATTTCCCATCTGGCTAACAGATGGAACTTTTGTCATGTTTACTTTATGGAGGCACTGGTTGCTGTGTGTTCTATCTGCCTCTCGCTCTGCCCTGTTTGCAAACTTTCAGTGGCCTCGGAGCGGATCAGTTGTTCTTCAGCAGCAGCCACCCCACACAGGTGACATTTCAGCCCTGCAGCTTGTGTGTGTCTTAGCTCGTGCGTCTTGGTAGGCTCGCCTCGGGATGGTGTGTGACACTGATTATCTGTGGCATAATCTGAAAGAAAGGAGGGAGGAAAGGCTGGGCTTTGGATTGTATGGAGAGCAGGTAGGGGAAACTTTCCAGTGGTCCAGGAGCATGTGTTTTTCATCATCCTGATGGGCAGCAGGGCTCGTTGCTCTTGCAGCGTGTCCTGTGTCATTAGTTGGTGCTGCTGACAGCCCACCTGCCTTTGGAACAGCACTTTCAACACTGGTGGTGATGTACATAAAAGTAGGAACAACAAATGAATTCTGGTGTTACATATAGGGACCTTGATGTTGTGTCACAGTAAATAACTTTTCTTCATGTATTTAGGGAAGAGAAGGAGGAGCAGTCTGCTGCATAGCATAGCTGCTAAGGGAGCTTGCCTGAGGAAGGGAGGTGCTCAGGGTGCCCTGCCATCATCATGGGACTGAGAGGGCTGCTGTATCTGCAGCTTCAGAGAACAGAGGGCTTTGGGTCCGATTCGTACAGTGATTGAAAAGTACAGTAAAAGAGCTGTGCCTTGTCTAAATTAATTTGTCCTTATATATAAACGGATAATTTGGAACAGGAAGGTGCCTGTAGTGAGCTGTGTATGTGGGAGTCTGAATTTTAAGTCTGCAGCTTGTGAAGAGGATGAGATAGTTATTGTCACCAAAAGGTACATGCTGCTAACTTCTCCAAGTCCTGTGTGCATCGTGTTAGTTTTGTAATTTTTACTCTTTTGATAATTAAATATATGTGACCTTGCAAGACTTGGGAGCTGGTATGATGGGATTCCATTTCTGGGCAGTACTTACACAGCCTGCATCAGATGTAAGCCCCTGTGTCCTGCACTCATGCAAGGCACACTAACAAGCCTCCTTCCTTACTGCAAGATACAAGCATGAAGAATTATTTTTGCCTTGCTCCCTGCTAAGTGGTGAGTTGGGGCTCGCGTGATTCCATTTCTCTCCAGGCAGGGGGGTGATGAGATGCAGGACTCATGCTGATGGTTGTGTTGGGTCCCTGCTGCTTTTTGCAGAGAAATGGGAGTCTGCAGTTACGGTGCAGAGACTGTGGCTGCAGGAGTCCAACTTCTCAAGATTGCCAGGCTTTTTTAGCGAGGTTCAGTGAAGAATAGTACTAGACAAGAAATAGTCATGCAGCATAGGAAAGTGTTCCTTCTGAGGTTTTCTTCAGGGCCCTCTTTCCATCCCACGCTAATACACTGCTGTCTAATTCTGTTGCATCCGTTTTACCATAGAGACCACACTGGCTCTTAATAGCAGTAGTGACAATAGTTAGTGCTTTCAGGATTTCATATTGCCAGAGGCTTCGGAGGGTGCAGAAAGTGCTGTGCTGCAAGCTTTTATGCAGCCGGGAGACTGACTTTTTTCTTCATACTTCACAGTGTTTCAGGATTTTATAAATTTTAGTGAAATTTCATGGACTTTCACTACACGGAGAAAAGCCTTGTGGAGGATACTGCAGTAAGTAAGAGGTAGAGGTTCCAGTCAGACTTCAGTTCAGGACTGAGAGTCACGAATACCAGCTTGTTGTACCAGCATTTATGAACATCAGCAAGGGTTTGGGGATAAAGCAGCCACGTGTGGGGCTGTTGGCCTAGACTGCTTTGTTGGGGATTGGTTCAACCTGAGATAAGAAGCCCGTCACCACCACTTGTTGACTAGGTTGCTACTTGACAAGGGTTTTTCTCGTAGCCTTCAGAAGATGAGATCAAATGGTTTCTTGTCGAGATACATCTAAGGTTAAATAGCTTCTCATTTTACTTATTTGCTAATTGCATTGATGGGCCTTAATGAAAAGTTACCAACTGCACAGCACTGCCACGGTGTTCATCTGTTATAGGCTGTGGTATATTTCTTCTAGATAGCAATATCCTTAATGTCTGACATTAATTACACCATGCAGTCTGCAGCTTCTGCAAGGAGTGCCAGTGCTGAGAGGGCTGATGTGTAGGGCAGGGAGCCTCCTGGGCTCCTCCTCAGCTCTTACACGTGGGGATCTCTCTGTGTGGTTACTTAGCTTGCTCTGGAGTTAGCACTGGGTTTTAAAGCAACCTTGGTAATGGAGGTTGTTGGCTTCTGTTGAATTAAGAATGAGTTGCCCAGATGGAGATGTGTCCACGGCAGTTTGGCTCTAGCTGTAGAGTTTCAGCACAGCTCATAAACTTCAGCTTTATAGAACCTTAAAAATGCCAGCATTCCACTAAACAATGTGCATCAAAATGCAGCACATGTATTGCAGCCATCTGTGGTTTTCTGTCTTTCAGGCAAACACAGGTTTTACTTGTTTTGTGCCTGAAGGCTGTGGAAGTGTCATGGAAAAATATGGGAATAGAGGAAAGCTGTGCATCACGATGAATGAAGCCTGCCTTCGTTTGCTTCGTTGCCATTTGGGCAAGCATCAGATCAAACTGGGCCTTTTTGTGTTGATTGAACTCTTTACAGGGCTGTCTGGAAGGATTCTTTGCTGTCTGTGAAGGTATCTGTTCAGTGCCCGGGTACTCCCGAGGTCTAGGTTAGATCACTTACTGTAAGGAAAACTGGAGGTAACGTGCTAAAGCTGATCAGTGACTTTCCATAACCAAACTTGATATTGCTGAGTGCTCAGGGGAACGGAGGCAGCAGCAGCCGACATCCCTCCTCCAGAGCACCTCGTTCTGCCCTGCAGCCATTGGGGCAGCCCGGCCTGACTGCTGTCTGCTGTCTGTGGTCCGTCCGCTCCATGGCACACAGCGCACAGCCCAGTGGCTGCACAGCAGGGAGTGTCCTGCTGTGGGAAGGGGGAGACGTTGGTATGTGTTTGCTTTTGCTGCATTTTGAGTTTTGGCCTGTGTTTAGTGAATGGTATTAAAATTTCACATTTC